AATCAAATTCAACTTTTCTGAAGATAGTTTCCAAATTTGTACTAGCCAAAACTTCACTATATCGAGCGCCGACTGTATGATAATAATTAACTTTTAGTTATTAAAAAAAAAAAAAAAAAAAGTAAATAATAATATATGTACATTGCATCGAATGATTTTAATTTTCATTAAAATCTTTTATATAGCAAAGAAGAAATGGCGTCCACAGTACCCACAATACAACCAAATAAACCCACCAGTATCACAAATAAATTTAAAACCATTTCCCAAATAGTCATACCATTCCACCCAAACAATCTACATAAAATACTACGGGTAATACAAATACCAGTAAACAGTTTGCGAATGCACCTAGCACAAAAACATAAATTTATAGAAATGATCAACATTAATGATTACTGCTTCCGCGGCTGTTGTCCTAGCGCTTGTTATAAGCTAAACCGACATAAAAAAAATTGGTCTCGAGTTAAATTGCTATTGTCATTATAGTTTTATCTATCCAAATTCTCTTCGTTTAAATTCTGACTAGAGAAAAAATTGTTGGTGATGTCCACACGATTGTTCGAGTTTTGATGAGTATGGTTATGGCCAAAGTAATTATGGTTTGTTCCGCGAGAAAAACAAAAAAAAAATTTGTATCGTCATATCTATAGATGGGCGTCTAAATTGTTTTTGGGTTTAGACAAAAATGTCTAAATGTCTAAATTAATATAAATAGTAATGATTTGCTTTAAATACAACTAAAAGTCACGTGTATATACAAAATCCACAAAAAATTCAATTTCAGCATTTTAGACAATTGAGACCATGATTGTCTAAATGTCTAAATTAATTTATTTTTTAGACATTGTCTAAATAATTTAGGACACCCATCTATTGTATATTTAAACTTACACTTGTTTATTTTTTGAAAGAACAAAATAAATAATATTATTATTTGTTTTATTCATTTTATTCAAATAAACATTTGAATAGAAAACCCTAACTGCTACTCAAGATATGATATTATTTTAGTACAAAGGGCTTTAGAAATATTTAATCAATAACTTAATTAGAATATAAAGAGCTATTGGTTTATTAAACTAAGCCAATAATTAACTAAAAAAAGGATTAATTTTAAAAGAATATCTGATAAATATTGGCATTTTCAATATTTACTAATACTTTTAGACTATATGACAAAAATATTATTAACTTATCAGTATGCTAATACCTTGATTATTTTTTTAAAGAATAATCAAATTCTGATATTTGCTGATACCTCATTACCCCATTACCCAATTTGGTATCATTTGGCCAGTAAAGAGATTATATATAAGCAAAGAAAAATGGCACCTTAAATTAGCACAAAAGAATTTTAAATCATGCACAAACATAACAGCTTAATAGCTTGATTGACATAGTGGTGCAGTCTTGCAATTTTTTTATTGTATATTTTAAATATAATTGATCATGTTTTTGACAAAACAAACATGACTTGGCTATTTAATCATTTCCTTCATTTCCTTGTATGTGAATGCCTCCATCCATCAAATATTCATGATGGTCATGATGATTATTTGATACATTTGATATCATCATTGACATAACAAACAATTGCATCACCCAGGTAGTAATGATACCAAGGCCATGCATAAACAAAACTCTTAACAATGCATGACTACCCAGATCTCTGGGGTTCACAAAATAAATTACTTTTCCTGATTATCAATTATGGTTGCTCATGAATAATAAATCTGATGTTGATTGCAGGTGTCAGATTTAATTAAAACTTTCCTGTCACAAACAATTGCAAACGTGTGCTTTCACACCATCCCATCCCTATGGAATTTTTTTCCACAGGCAAGACACTTACATATTGGGAGGCTTTGGACAAAACATTCCCTTATCTTCCTCTCAGACCAGGCTTGGCTGTTTTCATATGGCAATTGATCATTGATAGCTGGCATTTGTGTGATGATTGCTGCATGTTATTGCCACACTAGCATAAAAGTTGGCACCTGCAACTGATTGAAAATTCAGCAACTTGGAAGTTACAACCTGGGTTGCTGTTTTGGATTTTCCCTGAATTCAGAGTTTTGAGTCCTGGGTTGCTGTAATTTTTATGAAAAGAAAAGTATTAATATTTAACAATTAATTATTTAAATGTTTATTTTGTTGAAAAAAATATACATTGATAGTGTACATTTTCTGTGCTTAACATCCATGTGACCCTAAGTCTGGACAAAAGATCCCTTTCTATGAGTTTGGCTGGTATATCTCAAAGGTGTCTCCTGTCTTGTCAGTGGCATGCCTGCTCACCAATAACCCTACCCCCATTTGAAAAACAAATTCAGTTGGTCAAACAAAAATTAAAGAGAAACAGAAAATTTATGGGAATGATTAATTTATAACATAACATACCAAACAAAATCCGAGCCATTTTTATAACTTTTTCTTGTTGGCCATATTGCTGACAAAGATGTATATAATCGTGTAATAATTTTAACCTACATGACAGAGGACTGGTTGGGCAAAAACCCAACCCAGTCCCCTACTCAAAATTATTAAATTAATTAGTATCAAAAAAACAGAGAATTTATGAAAGTGATTACACAAAACAAACACTATTTTACAACTTTCCTCTTAACATCAGAGCCCAAATGCAATTTCAGGGTCACAAACCCTGCTCTGGATTGTGACCTCCTACACTTGGAATGAGTTGCAGATTCTCTTAATATTCCTTCAGAGTTGCAACATCTTGGCCACAGAGCCATCATTGCCCTAGAGGTGGGATCATTGCAGGTGACTTTTCGACCAGCGTGCCAGCAGCCATCTCTGGTCTGGGAAGATTAGTGAAAGCGTCATTGACGATCGATGCAGTCTCGGTCGGTAAACTCCAGGGCCATGCGCCAACCCCCTGGAATTCTGTAGCATCATTATATCCATAGGACGGAGCTGGTCAGATTAGCCTTGTGAACATGAGGAACATGTGTGAATGACTGTAAAGTGTTCAAAGCGATGTGCGTGCTTCAACACCTGCCAATCTTCGATAATCAAATGTCGCATTTCGAAATGTTTCTTTTTCAACAGTCTGCTGCCTTGACATCATCTTGTAATTATATATTAATAATAATAGTATTATTAATGATTACGAAAAGCAAAATATTACCAATGAAAATCTTGTAATTACCCAGCAAGATCTGTTCCGCGTTTTGATTCCAATTAAAATATTTATAAGCTAAAATAAAAATATCAATCAATACAAATAAAAAATAGTACCTCTGGTTAGTTATTAAAACGTATTCTTTAGGAGACCCAAACCAAACAAAACAACAACACTCACGTTTTGTCACCTTGGACTCTGTCAAAAAATAAATTGTTTTTATTGTTTTTCCAAAAAAAATCAATTCGCGTCTGACCTACCAAATAAAAAAAACCAATAGGATAAATAATTAATGTGTACGCATCGATCATTCACAAACTTTATTTTTTTTATAAATTTTTGAAATCATGCCGAAAGACGTGAAATCAAGAGTTGGAAGAAGCAGAACAAATGAACTGGGAGGTGAACGTGGGTAAGTGTTTTAAGAAGAATGGTGGTGGTGGCTATCACCTTCCACTCGTCGTCACTCTAGTTAATTAAAATTAAAATGTTTGTTCCTTAGACGACAACATAATAAAGAAAATAAAGAAGCTGCTGCTATCCCAGCAAATCCATTGGCTGGAATTAAAGATCATTTAACAAAATATGGAATAATTACTTTATTCGATAGAGAGTATCCATATACGAAAAAGCTTTATGATACACTTGGTAATGAAAGGATGAACTTATATAGACAGCAATGGAATGAGGTGGATATATTTTGTAAATCAATTAAGGTTTAAAACATTATTTAAGAGGTATAAATTCTTTTGTGACTATAGACCGAAGATAGGATTAATGAAGCTATTCAACTGACTTCTAATAAGAGAGAAACAGTTATATTGATAAACAAATATCACCAAGTTGCTTCAAACTATTTGGATAACAATTACACTAGTCTTGAGCCTCTATTATCGGAAATATACGAAAAACCTTTCAGAAACTATGTTCATAAAAGTGTTTATGAACTAACTTGGTATCAACATATTTATATTACTTTGTAAGTTTTGAGAATTTGATATCTTTTTATTTGTACTGTTATATTTCCACTAAAAATTTATAGCCAATGTTTGTTTACACACTAGTATAAGTCAGTTTATAAGAAAACGGGGTTCACTAACTGATAGCTCTTCATCTGAGTTAAAATACAGTGAGGAAATTATAAATCCCTTGTTTTCTGCAATTTTTCAAGACACAGAAGACAAATTTTGGATGGAAACGTAACCATTTTTTTTTTAAATTGTCATTTTGGATTGAATTTGTCTTTATTTTTTTTAATGCATTTTGGTTATAGTGGCGAGTTGGAAAATTTAACAATAAAAATCCAGAAGAATAGTAGAAAAGAAGAGAATGAAAGATTGAAGATTGGTGACAAGCATGACAGGATTCTTTATATGAATTTACATGGTGAAAGTGCCCAAGTAGGATTCGTTGAAGTGGCTGGCAATGCATTTGATAAAGATCTGGCTAATCGTAATCATGATTTGACAAAGCTATTGAAGGGTATGTTTGTTAAATTTCTTCTATATGTTTTAATCAGGGTTTCATACTAGACCTGTTTTAATCACAATACCAATGAATTTCATATTTGTGGATTATAGCCATGTCACTTTCTATTTGGAGTCAACATGAACACATCCATTTTAATAATTTGAAATTAATGTCATTTGCTGTGCTTGTTCATGGTAAATATGAGGTTTTAATCATTTATTCCTGCATCACCATCACTGCCATTGCCATCATTAGATGATAATATCGATCTGATAGATCCATTATTAC